AGTTACTTTTATATTACCAACATGTATAGACTGTGGGGTTCACTCAAACTTTAGTGTAGATTCACACAATAGCCATAATTAGATTTATCTAGTATGACAAAGTAGCTTTGATGATAGGAAGAAATCAAAATTCTATCATGTCTTATTATGACTGATATTCATCAACAGAATTACTGTCACATTGTATCTGTTGTAACTATCATATCTTTCTTGGGATGGCTGATACTCAACCAATTGATACAATTTATCTATAGTAATTATTATCAGGTTTTTCTTAGAATGTTGGTATTTTCCAATGGAGTAATACATTCTATGTGTTTTAACTAAAGATTCTATCATATAATGGAGAGTTTGTTTGCCACAATATAAACAAACAAGGAAAGAAAAAAAAACATGGTTGGTTGTAATAATGTTTAAGGATTGTCTTTAGGTCCAGCAATATTTAACTCTAAGAAGATAATCTCCTTTCTGTAACTCTCAACTCAAGTAATCTAGTAATCCCTGTCCTTCTCAGAGCTTTTTTTTTTTTTTTTTTTTTTTCTTTGTTTTCTTTTCTTTTTTCCCCTGGTGTTTCCAAATTTGAAATACAACATTAACTTTTAGAGAGTGGGGTGGGGAGAGACACTATGAGAGGTAAATGTAAAAAAGCATTCCACTTTGTGATTAGGTCTTCTGTGTTAGTTCCCTTCTCAGTAGGATATGAGGAGAGTTACCTCTCCTAGTGCAGTCTTATCATGAGTCATAGAAATGAGGTTGTGACTATGATAACCAGATTCCAGAAAATAGCATGTTCTTTAAGTTAAGTAAAAGCTCCAAATTGTATCTAAACACTTATTAAGTGTGACAGAGATAAGCCAGAGGTTCAACTCTGCTGAGAAATTAGATGTTTTGGATGAAACCTAGTTGCTAGAATTTTCTGAACCCATGGGCTTCATGATCAGAAAAGTCAGAAATACACACTGAAGCAAACTTATGAAGGTCACAACTTTATGAGTGATTAAAATTTACGAAGGTCACTACTATGTTAGCTATTAATGTAAACTGCTGTGCAAGAAATTTATTTTTGCTAAAGTAACATTTAAAATGTTCAGTTCAGAGTTTTATCTCTCCTTGTTTCTTCATATTTTATCCAAGTTTTAAGGTGACAGCATTTGGTTATTGCAAAAAACAAGAGGCCAGTATAACCATAAACTGAGGATGTTTCCATTTGAGGCAGGCTTCTTAGAAGGTACAAGGAAGAAAAGAATGAACCAAAATGGTGACTTACTTCACCTCTCCATTCACAGATATAAGATTCATGATCTCTGTAGTTAATATCCTCATCTTTTTAAAGCAGTGGGTTATAATTTCTACCTACATTTGAGCAAACCAATGCAAAATAGTAATACATGCAAAAATTAGGGATAATTTTTTGATATGTATTATTTTGACTATAAAACATTCATATTTTGACTTATTGCCTAAAATTAAGAAAACACTCAGCCCTAAAATAGATTCTGAATTGTTTTGTGAACATGACAGTTCCAACATTTATGGTCACCAGTTCTTAGGCAAATCATCTGGAGGAGACAGGAAGTTGTTAATTATTTTTAAAATGATTGGGCATAAGTTTAGTTTGGAACTAATTAACATAATCAAGATAAATAGTTTGTTGAGGAAATAAGTCAAATTTAATCTAAATTGTGTTTTGAGGATAGGATTTTCCTTTTAAATGCTGGATAAAAGAATTGCATTCTAAAGTGTGTGAATTCTTGAAAATGTAACAGCTTTATAGTTAACTATTTTCAACAATAGTGGGAAAAGGAAATAAAATCTTCTCAAAATAACCAGCTTCCAAAAGTTGCTGGATGAGTGTTTGGGGGGTTGTAGGGAATGAGTGTGTTTGGGGATTGAGTGTGTTTGTCACCTTAAAATAATAAAATTAATGTTACTTTTCATTATTGTGTATTTTATTATTATCCATATAACACTATATTTTATTACTTTATTATTTTTCTATTAGATCTAGCACTCATTATGAAAAACACCAAGGCCCCTTCTGTTACCTTTCAACAAGAATCAGGGAAAATATAGCATTTTTTTTTCTCCTCCCTCCTTGCAATTTTGAACTGGCTTCCAAAGAACACAAACAACAGAGTACCTTCAGAGTGAAAGCTTCCTGCCTTAGCAGATAGTTTCCTAGAGGGAGATAGAGTGGGGAGAAGAGAGGCAACACCTTCAGCAATGAGCACTGCACTGGAGGATGAAGCTAAGAGGTCTTTTCTGCTTGCAAAGAAATGAATCTGGAAAGAACACGGAGAGACTATGTGTCACTCTCCACTTCAGGAAAACGCTGGTGTCATTTTTCTGTAAGCAAAACAACCACTGGTGGGTTTCATTAAAAGCGCCCAGAGGTGAAATTTGAATTTTGTCTTGTTCACGACTGTTAAGTTCTTCAATTGGCCCAGTTTGCAGAGTCCCCTACTCACCTCTATTCCATTATAAAATGTAAACAAAAACAAAAACAAACCAAAAAAAAAAAAGGAAAAAGAAAGTTATTCAATCCAAATTGGCAAGGTCATTAGGATTCTGATTGAATTCTGATTGAATATTTGGATGGACTTTGTCCCTATTGGGGAACCGCAAATCCTTATATTGGAGACTTCTAGTTTCTTTCAGCTGAGCGGAACAAGTGGGACGGTCCTGGAGGAAAAAAGGAGTCACCCCCACATCCTAAAGTACTTGGAAGTGCTCATTTGGATCTGCCTGGAGACCGGAGACCGAGCTAGGGCGACTCCACCGGTCGCCCTGGAGTCCTCAAAGATGCAAAGTTTAAAGGGAAATCAGAAAGCAGCACTTTTCTCTTGCATGCCTCCAGAACTGGTCTCCCTGTGGTGCAGGCTCTCGCCCGGGATTCCTTGGAACGCTTGGTTATCCACTTCCTTCACTAGAAGCTCACCGGAAAGCGCTCACGATTTTAGTGAAGACGCTCCAGGACTTCAGGGTGTTGGCTGAAGTATTTGTTCTCCAGAGTCCCTTTGCAGATTTACATGGAATCTTACTGGTCAGTGCCTAGCTCATCGGAGTGGATGCTCAGACTCTTTTGCGGATGCTCGGACTCTTACGGATGCTGGGACTCTCGAACTCGCTCCTGCTCAGCAATTTACTAACCTGGGGATTGCTCTGGAACCCGAACCCCGGCCCGTGGGGCGGAACTGGACGGAGACTGCGCGGCGGGAACCTCAGATCCAGGCACGCTCCTCTGAAATCAAGTAGCCAGAGGGTAGCTCGGATTGCTAAACCCAGGAATGCACCACCTAGGGATCAACCTGGAACCGGCTCGGCAGCCAAGAGGGAAGCCCAGGGAAGACAGGAGGAAATCGGAGCAGTTACCACTTAAAGCACTCCAGGCTGAGTTCGTCTCTCAAAGAGGCAGCTGTGTGGGTCTTGATTACGCGTGGGTGCCTCTGTGCTCAATTGGAGCGAACCTGTAGGTGTGCCTGAGTGTGCGCGCCCTAGTGCATTCGCAAAGCAATGGTAAATAAAGCCTCTTCAGTTCTATTGGTAGCAAAATTCCAGAGCATCCTATCCAGGAAGGAAAATGTGTGGTGGGAGTCTTTACCAAGTACGAGAGGAAGTGCTCCTGGTTAGCAAGCTTCCCAAACATCCCCACACCCTTGCATTCAGGTTTGGTTCAGATTGGTGTCTGGACTGTGAGAGGAGGTGCGCACAGAAACCAAAGATGAAGTGCTCATAAACTCTAACCTGAAAGCACTGGGCTCGGACCGCTCTAGTTACGGAACGAAGATTTTTTTTTTTTTCTTTAATGACTGGCTTTAGGGGGTTTCCGGGTGTTTTGTTGGGGTCCGGAATTTAACTAGAAATTTAAGCAAATTACGAGAGGAAAGCCAGGGAGGGAGGGCCCTGCCCAATCCCTTCCCAGGAGGCCCTTTTGCTTTACCCTGCACCACATCTCTCCAGTTTCTCATCCAACTCCAGTTCGAGTGACCTAGGTGGCCAGGCCTGCTTTCTATGGACTACTGCCGCCTGGGAGGTGGGGTGAGGGGTGGGAAAGCATTAGCTTTGCACGCTAAATGTCAGCTCCATCACTTTCAGCCAGGTACAAGCGCTGGTTCCCAAACGTAAATGTCTTCCTCAGAATCCGCTCCCACCTGATTTGTCACCATGACTAGGGGACTCTGGAAGCCAACATCGGATGCCTGGAAGCGTCAGCCAGGCTCTCAGGCTGGAATTCTCTCTGCGGGGTCAGAGCTAATCACTTTTCACACTGCCATTAGCAGCCACTGCCAGACCCGGTGACACCTTAAAAAAAAAAAAAAAAAAAAAAAAAAAAAAATCTCTTAACCTCCCGACTGTGGACGATCAGATCCGCAGTTCATTTCCAACAGGGGCAGGGGATGCCCCTGAAGTTCGCTTTCTTCGGGTTTTCCACCGCTTCCCCTCCCCCCACCCCCGCCCGCCTGCAACGCCCCCGCGCCTCCTCTGCTTGGGGATTTGCAGGCACAGCTCTGGCCCTCTCCTCCCTCCTGGGGTAAATCGGTTCTCCGAACACGTCTCGCTGGGAGTCACAGAGGCCGAGAGCTCGGCGGCGCCGGCTTGGGGTGTAGCCTGATTCTAGGGTTCTGAGAGGTGCGGCCGTTCTCATCACTGCAGCTAGGGACAGGCTCACGGCCGCGCGCCCGCCGCCGCCTCCATGCTGCAGCGTGGAACGCAGCTCCTCCGGGCCAAGCGGCCGGCTTGGCCCGCACACACAGCTCTGGGGAGCGGCTCTCCCAGGCCTGCCGGGGCGGCGGCTGCGATCCCCAACTGCAGCTTCCCACCTCGAGCCTGAGCAGTGGACTCGCCCCATCCCTTGGTCAGCGGGAGGGGCGCCCACCGTGCTGTGTGCAGCGGCGCAGGGAGGCGGTGAGCGTGTGCACAGAGGCCGGAACCGTGTGTGTTACTGTGTGTGTGTCTGTCTGTGTGTGTGTGTGTGTGTGTGTGCGCGCGCGCGCGTGCGCGCGTGTGCGTGTGTGCTTTTTTCCTTCCTTTGAAGATGTGAATGGCTTCTCAGCTAGCTGGTCCTTGGGATTCTTGACTTTGGGGAGCTGTGAGCACAAGCCACCCATGTAATAATTCATGTTGCATGGTCGGTTGTACCAGGAAAAAAAAAGGCGCAACTGCACGGGGGTGGGGCAGATCCATGAAACATTCTGGGAACAAGACATAAGAAGAGGAAAGAGGAATAGAAATGTGAATACTGAAAGACCGGAGAAGACTTTGGGAATCTCCTGGCTGGCCCTTCCGTTTTTCGGCAGGAATCTGGATGTTTTCCACCTTTTCAAGTCATCTTGGTGTTTTTCTAGTGTTTTATAAGCCGCTTTCCAGCTAGCTGCGTATGTGTATATGTGATTGTGCGCCTGTGTATGTGTGCGCTCCTATCGGATGCATTTGGGATGCATTTGACAGTCTTTTTTCTAACTGCCCAGAAGCAAATGTGTTAACTCAGAGATGCCCCTCCGTGCCCAGGTTCTCGAAGAGTGCAGAGGACGCCCAGAACAGGTTTTCTTGCTGGATTCTGGGCGACTGCTGGGCTGTGGAGACAGGTGTATGGATCAAATCCAGAGGCTCGGAAACTAGCTGTATTAACCCGCTTCCAGGTACATCGCAAGGTCAAGAAAGGGTCTTGCAGCTGTCTTAATTCCCTGCGTTTTGACTTTCCTGTTTGGGTCAGAAGAATATGAATGTGTCTGTCCACAACATTTGAAGCCCAAACTTCAGCACTTCACTTGGTTTACTGTATAGATAAGGTAATGAGGATTGCTTCTCAAACTGCTTAAGAAACCCCAGACGCTTCCATAGCTCTTCCAGGACTCTCTTACTCCCCAGCGAAATGTCACCAGCTTTTGAAATCCAAGGATTTGGGCTGGAGGAGAACTTGAAGGAAACGTGATCAATGGCTATGTGAGAAAACCACTGCTCTCTTTGCCGGTGAGCTGATGGGCTTCCAGAGTGGATCTTGAGAAGGGCCGGTACTGTTTCTCCCTCTGGATGCGGTGCTGGGTGTGCTTGTGCAAGTGTGAGTGCGCGCGCGCCCGGCTGAGAATGTGTGAGTGTGTGTGAGCGTGTCTGTGTGTGTGTGCGGCGGCCGCCCTGCTTCTGCCCGCTCCCTGGGCGCAGAGCCACCGGTTTCATGGGGCGATTTGCGCTGATTCCCCACCCAGCACGACCTGCGGGCAGCGGCGGCAGTGGCAGTAGCCACCTCTTTGACTTCCTAGGATGCGGGTGCTGAGCTATGGCAAAGGGCAGCAAAGTGATGAGCGAGACCCCAATACGACCGTGAAAGCCACCTGGAGCCACCTTGTCTGGATCTTACCTGCGGGCAGAAAGTCTTCCTATGACCGTCTTTCCCCCTAGAGGCACCAGGTAACAATGAAGGACTACTTGCCTCACCCACTTTCCTTAAGGGCTTGTTTCTAGCATGGTATCTGCAATGCAGGCTACTTTACTTATTAATGTTTTGAAAATCATTAGGAAGGGCTGGGTACCAAAGGGCGCTTGCTCAGTGAGGGGGCATGCAGTTCCTCGTACATTGAATATAAGCCTATACCTGAGCACTTAATGTGGTAGTGAAATCTAGAGATATATGAATACGTCAAGCCTGAGGATAGTTTTTGAAAAGGGTCAGGCTTGCTGAACCTGTCTGAAGGTGCCAGAGATGAACAGTTCGTATTTCCTCTAGGCTATGGTTGCTGCGGACCATTTGGTACCCAACCCTCCAGATACTGGAGTGAGATCCGGTGTTTGTTTCCCTGCCCCCCACATCTATCACAGATTTCCCTTTTTCTCCCCCTAACCCTTCTTCCTCTTGTCCTGGGTTGTTTTCCTTCCCCTGTTGTGTACGATGTGTGCGATCTTGCTAGACCCTTTTAGCAGTTGTGAATTATCCATCTGGAGACTTTGATGGGAAATGGAGTTTTCTTGGGACTTGCTTAGCATGGAAAGGAATTCGTTGTCATGGGTGATTTGAGACGAGGTGTTTAACTGCCAGGATTTGATCTGATGTAGCAGAACAGATGCATAAAAGAAGTCGTCTATATGTCTAGGAGAACGAGGCCAAAAACCAACAGCCACCACCCAGACCCAGCCCCAGCTCCAACATCAGCTCTGGCCCCTCCTGCTTATCTCTGAGGAGGACTGAAGCTTGTGTTTCACTATTGTTGTTTGTATACATTAGGTATTTTGAAAATTCTTCCCAGTGCTTTGATTTAAAAGCAGGTTGCATTTGAGACTGCCTAATTAACATATTGGATCTGATATGTGAAAATGGAGATTCCCTTCCTTTGAAGAGGTAGAACTAATTTAGTTAACTTCCAATGCCCCTTAATTTTGCACCTGGTCCATTCCTTCTTCCATCACCACAGTTGTCTATTCTTTACAGAAAAAAAAAAAATCTTCTTTCTGGAGGTTATTTGAATTAACATAAAGCACTTCCAAAGTAGACCCATCAGTGTTTAATTCCATAGTGAAGATGGTCTGAAAAATTAAGCTGAGGAGTGCTGGTTTGTCTCCCACCTTTAGGAGCTGACTGCTGGCAGCACTACACCAAGGTTTGGCCTGGTGGGTCCTGGTTCACCGATTTAGGAGGTAGAGACAGGGATGTCTGATGGAGGTGAAGCAGAGTGTAGGGTGGGCTGTTTAGGAATTGTAGGAAGGCTGTCTGGTTGTCTTCTATTCCCTTCCTTTCTAATGATATCCATATGATGGCATTTGCAGATTACAAGCTAATGGGTAGCTGTTCTAGTTGTCCCTGCGCGCTGATGTCCCCAACTCCTGCTTTAGAGTGGAGATTCAGCTGCTGCTGCAGCCCTTGCAGGGTGGTGGTGCTACAAGGCTGTGTATGCAGCCTGCTTTGCTTTGGGGGTTGGGTTTCAGCACGGCAGCTGGCAGGTCTGCTTTGACACTACTTGGGGCGGGGCTGGAAAACTCAGCAGGCCCTCTGGCAGACAGTGGTGCTCAGTGTTGCTGTGGTGGCTTCCCAGGAATGAGGGAAGAGAAATGGGAGATGAGTATGGAGATGGTGTTTGACCACCTATTAGGACTACAGCTCCCTCCTTTCCCCTATATGAATATTCAAAAAGATGTAATGAAAGCTGGCTACAAAAATTTTTTGACATTCATACATTGCATGAATCAGGATTGAAATCTTGAAGTTACAGGTTTATTTCCTAGACTCCTGTTTCTTTTTACTCCTATGCTGTCCTAGATTCCATCGGGTTATTTGCAGCCTAGACTTCAATTAAAACGGTAGCATACAAAATCAACTTATCTTCCACTTTATGCTCAAACATGAAATCTAGGTAAGACACTTTTCAGACAGGTTTAGTGTTTAACTTCAAGGCAGAGGAAGGACATAGAGGCTAACTCAACTGTGACAGTAAGAAAATCCATACTCCACTATGGGAGTACTGTAATTGCCTACAATCAAAATGTACAGAGAAAAATAAAACACCAAACAAACAACAGACAAAACCAAAACAGTATTTGGAGGAATTAAAGATGAATTCTCCCTCAAGTCTCTTCTTGTTTTTTAGTGAATTTATTTGAAGTCTATCACTCAGAAAATCCTACTTATGTAGTAAACATCTCATAATAATTGGTAAGCAAATAACTAATACATACCCAGAAGATGACCAAGAAAAATAAAATTCTGCTGAAGAATATTGGTGCTGGAGAAACAACTATTTTCTCATCTCAGTTCTCTTGCCTTTGGCCTTTTCTAACTGTGGATATCCTCTTTTGCAAGTCAGTTCTTGTCTCTGTGCACCCATCCTCAGGGAAGGCAGACAAATAAACAAGAATTGAAATTCTCAGAAGCTTGAGCATACACTGTTATGTGGTTCAGGTTTAAAAAGGTCACCACTTTGTGGCACTGGAGTTAAGTTAAATATCATAAGGAAATAGATCTTCTAGCAGCATGAAGAGAGGAAGGAAGGAAGGAAGAAAGGAAGGAGGTCAGGGTAGCTAATGCTGGGTTGGAGATGTGTGTTCTATCCCCGTGTTAGACATTATCCCTAGTCAGAAGTGATCTGCTAGCTAATAGGTGAAGATATTGATAGGAAACTCCCCAGCAGGGATCACCTCCCCCTTCACAAATCTTTCTTAGTCATTCCTGAAAGGAAAAGAACAGGAAGCACCACCGGGGAGCAGTGTCAGCTTGAAAGGGGTTGACACTAGATTTTCTTCTTCTAGATTATTTCTTTTAGTGATTCTGGTTTCTCTTTTGAAATGAATGACCTTGAACAAGATCTGTATTCTGTGTTTCACATACCTCTTTTTATTTTTAATTAAAAATATAATGTATACACAAATATGCTCACACACTTTAGTTTTGTTATCATACTCATGTACTAGTTTGTTTAGGGAAAGTTCATCAATGCATGTCTCTCCCTTAAACCAGACAATACTTTCTTTTTCCTCCATAGAAATAGAAGAAATATAGTTATCTGTGGAAGAAATGCCCCACCCTTATTCATTTTTGTTTGTCTGTTTTTTGATTTTTAACTATTACTTTTTTTTCTCCTGCTCATCAATAAATTCTTGGTGTTGAAACACTATCCTCTTATGCATTTTGAATTTAAGCACAGTCCCATGTTACACCCACCTCCATTTTCTTGGAGGAATATCATTTTCCTTTGTCCATTGAAGTCAGTGCACTGCTGCTTGAAGCAATTTTGGTTTCGTGGTTTTGCTGAGTTTTCTAGCTGGTGAAATCAGGACTAGACTTCTTGCTGACTTTCTTGCTGTGCTGGTCAGGATGGGATACTTGCAGCTAGCTATCTAATACCATTCTTGCCCATCAGTGAAACTGCTCTGCAACAACTGCTGTGGTCTTTGATCATCTCCATATCAATGAAAGCATTTTTGCCAATACTGAAGTAAGAGTAGGATGAATAGACACTTGACTTTTTTTTTTTTTAATATAATTACCTAACCTTTTAGCTTATTCTAGTCATTTTGTTTACTCAGAAATAGGACACCCTGGCATTTCTTCAGGGGTTCTTTATATTTTTTTTGTACCATACAACTAGTTCTAAGCTTTATGCTTCATGAAATAATAAAGATTTAAATGTAGGCTTCCTACATATGAGTGAGACTCTAAGATACACAACTACCTGATTTTGTTGAATCATTCCAGTGACATACATACATAGTTACATCTCCAGAATGACTCCACCTCTTTAGTTTCTGTAGCTCACATTCTCATTCCTATGTCATCCTTCAGTCTTAAAACCTAAGGAAATATAAACTATACTTTCTGTGGTGTATGCAGAGGGAAGTTAATAAGCTCTTAGTTTGTAACTATAAACATTGTTTTATTTAGATGCAAACCATTTTTTATTATACTACATTATCCTAAATTTTACAGTACTATGAAGTCTTCAATAAGTAAAGAGGAAACAGAAGAATTTAATTCTGAAATAGTTAATGCTATATTTAAAACGTTTTAAGAAAATTATCACAGCATTCTGGTAGATACTGCTCTGACAGAAGGCTTTTTGTAAAGCTATATGCAATCTAACTGTAATCATGAATGATAGGTAACAGGTGATTGAAAATTACAATGTAATTACATGGTTATATAAAGATACTATCATTGTACTGATGCTAAGTAGATGCATGAACAGGCTTTAGTATTTAAGTTACAAAAGGTATTTATAATATTTGTCTGGAACTGATAGTTCATATTTCTTAACCTGCAAAGGTTAGGTAGGAAATTACATATTACACATGAATTCCCCAGGCTGTA